GAAAAACAAATGAGTATTTATAAGAGTGTAGTAGTATTGTGGTGACAGCTGGCTGCTAGCCAAATTGGTAGACAGTAATTTACGTCAATGTTTACATCCCTAATATTGTTCATAAGAAAAATAAGACCAAAGACTGACTCAACAACCAACCACAGCAGACTTTGCATAGGCAGATACAGTTAGCAGACAGATGATCTGAACTTCAAAAAGCAGTCACAAAGAGATGAAAGATTAACTTTCAGTGATAAACAACCAATCAGAAGACTGTGTTTTTCTGCTAACAGTAATCTATAATAATGTACATGAAAATCTATAAATATGTGTTGATTTCTTTAATAAACGACCTGTTTCCTGGCCCTTGTCTTCTATTGTTACAGTATGTTTTGGGGCACTGGAAAAACTAATCGAAGAAGAGAACTGTGAGAACGTAACAGAAACTGTGCAAAATCCAATAAGCTATCAAATTTGGTGATATTCGGCCAGTTTGCAAATGACGTGCAAATAAAGACTTAGAGACAAGGTATACCAAATTTGTGTACCTACAATGCGTTTGTCATAATAAACATTGCCTTCGAACCTCATCGGTCCTTTGTTCTTTACAATACCACTGTCAACGTCCACAATTTGGAAACAGGTAATAAGTAGTAGTATTCCCGTCGTTTTATGAAGATGAATAAAGAGATGAATGTCAAGTGTACTCTCAGGAGTACTATCACACACCACAGTAAGAATGAATCGTCAAATTTATAATACGTGCAATCACATGAATGGTCTCCTGTGTAGCGGAGATTATGACAGCATCTTAAGGACTGACACGATGTGAGATACATGTTGTTCAGTCATCGGGAAACTCATGGAGTCCTTTGAAGTGAAGACGATAGTAAGACAAGCTGGCTGGCTGCCTACTATCTCCAATGATTTTCCTGATTGCGGTAGACTGGATAATGAGAAAGACAGTGGGCAGCGAGGAAACAGGCATAGAATGGACCCACACAAAAAAACTTGGGGGATCTGGACTTCGCCAATGATATATGTCTGATTTCCCACAAACTGGAAGATATGCAAGTGAAAAGCAACAAGTTGGCAGAAGAAGCATCAAAGATAGGACTTCAGGAGAACATAAAGAAAACAGAAGTGGCTAAGATTTCTGGGCAACAACAACAATCAGCATAACTGAGAGGAATCTGAAAGAAGTAACTTCCTTTACCTGTCTGTCTGTCTGGATTCAACATAGAACTTGGCCAACAGGATGAATCTTCAAAATTCACCTTGAGGGTGTCAGGAGATGCCACAGCTAGTTCACGAGGATTAGCTGGCGTAGGGATAGCTCTGAGTACTAGGGCAGAAAAGACATTGCTTGACTGGATCCCGGTAGATAGCCGAATGTGTGCTGTCCGTCTGAACGGATCAGTAAGAAGGAGAAAGGACTGCACTACTCGCCGATGCCTTTTCGTAATCTCCGCCTACGCCCCCACTGACTGCAGTTCGGATGAAACGAAGGATGAGTTCTACCAAAAGCTGTCTAGTTTGGTGAGAAAGGCTAAACGCTCAGATATAGTCGTTCTAGCTGGTGACTTTAACGCTCAAGTAGGGAAATTGTGTCAATCTGAGAAGGATGTCGGTGGCACCTATGGAGTTCCGTGCCAGCGAACCGACAACGGTGACCGTCTCCTACAGTTCTGTTCAGATAATCATTTGTTTCTTGTAAGCACTAACTTTAAACACAAGGAGAGACACTGTTTAACCTGGCGACCCCCATCATCAAACCAACGCTGGACACAAATAGACCACATAGCAATAAGCTATCGTTGGCGTGGGTCGGTAGGAGATTGTCGCTCCTTCTGGAACACGTGTGTAGATACCGATCACGCACTGGTCCGGGCTCGTGTGTGCTTACGACTGAACGGACGTAGGAAACAGCTGGCGGTAAAACCATCACGTCCCCAGCTCGATCAGGAAACTAAATCCCTATTTGAGGAAGAACTAGCTAAACGCATATCTGAATTCGACAGCTGTGCTCACCCTGGAGAAGCCTGGAAGAATATTCAGTCAGCTATAGATACAGCTGTAAAAGCTGTGAATAAGGCAAATCCAAAGGTGAGTAAAAACCACTGGATTTCGACTGCCTCATCCGAACTGATAGATGCTAGAAGACTTATTCCGGCGAGCTCCGAATTCAATGAGGAGCGAAAGCTGCACAAAAGGAAACTTACTAAAAGTCTCCGCAAGGACCGTGAACAGTGGTGGGTGACAAAGGCGAAAGAGATGGAAAAAGCATCGGCGATAGGCAACACTAGGCAACTCTTTAGACTCATCACAGAATCGGGCGGGAGAAGGCAATTCATAAGTGAGACTATTTCTGAGAAAAATGGCTCCTTAATTAGCTCTCAGGATAGACGCCTTGAACGCTGGAAAGAACACTTTGAGGAACAATTTAACTTGCCTACAGCCACACTGAACCTCCCCCCCATCCACCACACACCCGAATGGGATATAGACACTGGTCCGCCGTCTGTAGGTGAGGTTACAAAAGCTATCAGTAATTTGAAACGAGGCAAAGCGGCAGGACCCGACGGAATTATTCCGGAGGTGTTTAAATATGGGGGTGACATACTAGTTTGTAGATTAACTGAGGTACTAGGCAAAGTCTGGGAATCAGAGACAGTTCCATCAGACTGGGGTAAGTCACTTATTATACCGATATTCAAGAAGGGAAACAAGTCCTCGTGTGATAATCATAGGGGGATCAGCCTAACGAACATAGTCTCTAAAATCCTAGGCTCAGTAATCATGCATAGACTAAGCAGAACTCGGGAGGAACAGACAAGGGAAAATCAAGCAGGCTTTAGACCAGGTAGAGGGTGCATAGATCATATCTTCACTCTTCGACAGATTCTAGAACATAGACACACTTTTCGGCGTCCAACAATTGTCATATTTCTTGACTTGAAGGCGGCCTTCGACTCCGTGGATCGAAAGGTACTATGGCAATGTCTGACTGTGAAGGGAGTGCCAAGAAAGTACATTGCACTAATCAAGGCACTCTATTCAAACTCACGTAGTCGTGTAAGGGCTTATGGGGAATTGTCATCTGAATTGGTAACAACCAGTGGTGTCCGACAGGGATGTCCACTTTCCCCATTTCTGTTTAACTTCATCATAGATATGCTAATGGAAGTATCCTTAACTGAACGTAGTGACTTAGGAATCGACTTGTTACCAGGGAATAATCTTATGGACTTAGAATATGCAGATGACATAGTCCTGTTAGGGGAGGATGCTGACAAAATGCAGAGTCTTCTGAACACCTTGAGCAGCAATCTTCGTATGTTTGGCATGCGATTCGCCCCTGCAAAATGTAAGATGCTGCTACAGGACTGGACCACGTCAACCCCTAACTTAGTGATAGGGAGTGAAGTGATAGAACATGTTGACCACTTCACCTACTTGGGAAGTTGTATTAGCACCAACGGACTGATTGGCGATGAAATCTCAGCACGGATCCGAAAAGCTCGAGCTGCTTTCGCTGACTTACACCATCTCTGGCGTAGGCGTGACATCCGGTTATCAACCAAGGGACGTGTGTACTGCTCATCAGTTCGCTCCGTCCTTCTCTATGGCTCTGAAACATGGCCAATACGCGTTGAAGACATGAAAAGGTTGACTGCTTTCGATCATAGATGTCTGCGATCTCTGTCTCACGTTAGGTGGTTTCACAAGATAAGTAATGTTGACGTTAGGCGTAGAGTGTTGGGCAAAGAGGGAAAATCAATCGACGAGGCTATAAAGTTACATAGACTAAGATGGCTAGGTCACGTGCTGCGCATGCCTAACCACCGCCTCCCCCGACGGGCATTGCTAGCTGATATAGGTTCAGGTTGGAAAAGAGCCAGTGGTGGCCAAACAAAAACATGGCATCAATCCATGAAATCCTTGACAGTTAAACTGAGTCAGGTAGGGAGATGCAGACTCCCGGGTTGGGGCCCTCGGGACTCTAGGAATCAATGGCTGGAGACAATAGGTGACATGGCTCAAAATCGTTGTCAATGGCGCAGATGTATTCAGTCTCTGTAATCTTTCATATTCCTTTCTACCATTACCCATTCTGTTTCACTCTTATACTTGTCAAACTCTATTAATTCTCTTCACTCATCTTCTTGTCTACCTCTGTGTGCTATTTGGAACGTGGCAACTCGAACTGCTGCACTTCGGTGCCAAGTTCTATGTTGAATCCAGACAGACAGACCGAAGTGCAGCAGTTCGAGTTGCCACGTTCCAAATACCACACAGAGGTAGACAAGAAGCATCGTTTTAACTACAGGCGGACGGAACTGATGAGGATATCAAAGCAAGGATCGGAAAAGCAAGACAAGCTCTCATTACTTTCAAGTCTGTATGGAGATAGATCAACAGCAGTCAGCATGAAAAATAACATCTGGATTTCCAACTCCAATGTGAATTCAGTGCTACTATACGGATCAGAGACTTGGCGCCGCGCCACGAAGAGCGATTCAAACAAACTACGGACTTTCATCAACAGCAGTCTTCGCTCAGTACTAAAGGTCAGATGATCAGAAAAAATCAGTAATAGTAAGGGATATCTGGGGGCGAACCAACCCAGCAGGGACCGATTGTGTAACAATTATGCAGGAAGAAATGGAGGTGGTTTGGTTGGCCATACTCTGAGAAAACAAACCACCATCAAGTGATATTACACGCCAAGTCATCACTCGAAAGGAAGGAGAATGGGAAGCTGTGAGTCGGTCATTAGTGAGAGGGTGACATAGAAGCGGTCGTATGAAGAGGAGATGAAAGTATGTGGGCAGACTTGGAGCCAGGTGAAAAAAAATTGGCGAAGAACCGAACGCCATGGAGACGTGCGACTGAAGCCCTATGTTCCTCTAGGAACTAAGAGACAATAATAATAATTGTTAAGTCATTTAAAAGACTTAAGGGCTATTATGAACAAACTAGTAGATATGATAGAGAAGATTTGTAGCTCAGGTGGACATCAAAACAAACTAGTAGTTTGGACACACTCTGATGCATTTGAATAGCTTCGCCAACATTCTATTTACCGTTTACACAAGATACAATCCCAATGACTATCTCAAGTCGTACACCGAAATGGGAAAGAATAGTACAGAATAACAATAAGTAATCAGACATAAAAGCAATAAAATTCCTTGACTGTAAGACTTCTCCTCACAGATATGTAATATGCACGAAGTTTTAAAAAAAGGTTTGTCGACTTTGTAAGTTATAATGAAGAAACAAAAATTACAGTGCTCAAAGTATTTAGTTGAAAACAAAATAGACAAATATAGAAAGCGACAATTCTAGTTTCAATAAATTTCAGGTCAGTTGTAATCATACACCGTGGGTCCAGGGTCCAGAAAAGAATTACTATGAATAGTCCTACCTAAGTTCAATCTCTGATAAATCTGACTAAAGCAAGGGCTACTAGAACTGAAAATAAGTGCATTGTGATCATTATTAGTATTAGTAGTAGTATTATGAAGAAAGACTCAGAATCGTGCCTAATAATGACAGCAGTTCACCAATTCACTGGTTAGAAATAAGAAGCAAAATAATCCAATCAAATCACATTTATATATATATCTTTGCATATATATATCAAGGATAGCAGGTGGTCTTATTCATGTGAATTAAAAAATATACAATGTTCACTGGTCGAATTCAATTGGATTGACAATTTTTACAACTTTCCCAAGTGCGATTGTTTTTCCTTCATCACGTAGGGTGAAACGACCAAGTTGTGAGAAGTCCTGAAATTTTTCTAAACAAATTGCACCACCTATAACCTAAAATTGAGGAAAATTATTAAAAGGATTCATAATAAATAACAATAATAGGACAATAATATATATATATATATATATATATATATATATATATATATATATATATATATATATATATATGTACAGCCTAGTTTAACCAGTAAATTCACATGGCGACTCTGAGATATTTTGCGACGTGTGTGTTGTGTATTTTACTACAAAATGTTACTTTGTTTATACTGCTTCCACAAAGGGTCTGGTACAACCGAGGGTGGGTAGACAACAGTCTTCCTCCAGAAATGCTCTTATGTGGTTACACGTTCATAGCCTCTCTCTGCAAGGTGAGTTTTGTTCACTGTCGTCACGCCAAAGTTAAAGGGTAACGGAGAACATCCCGGCCCTTACATATGAACTGGTGGACATTCACATCTACCTGGGGTAGCTGTAAAACCCTGATTTTAAACTTATGGCATGGACTCCACAGTCCGAATGGATCAAATGCTGTATGAACCTTTCTTGGTCACTGGTCAACCATGGGGAAGGCGGTTCGACTGCCTTGTGGATTAAACTTCAAGTCAAAGGCTCAGGAGTGGCGGCTCCTTAAGACTGCCGCTTGTTAAAGCTTGGATGTCTGAGCAGTACCGTAGCTCTCGTACAGACTATAAGATTTTGTGTGGCATGTTTCTCTCAGTGCCCATTATATGCCAAGTTCGTTTTTTGAAAAAATTTCAAAGTGAATTGTGATCAAAGGAAATCAATAGAGGAGCTGTGGGTTAAGTAGACTCTTGATCAACAGGTTAGAGGATTAACTGACTGACTAACTGGTTTCAACATAGAACTTTGCACCGATATGCGGCAGTTCGAGCCGTTACACTCCCTGAAGCACACAAAGCAAGAGAAGAAAGTTAAAAAGAATGCAAAACAGAGACAATAAACAGAGATATGAGGCAAAAAGAATAGTAATATTCGAAGAACAATATAGTTTTGTTGGGCATTATAAGTCACAAGGAATGGATGCATCTGCGCTATTGAGGACGAGGATTTTGAGCCATATCACCAATTGTCTCCAGCCATTGGTGTTTACAGTCCCGAGTACCCCAAGCAGTCAGGAAGTCTACACCTTCCTAAGTGGTTTAAACTAAATGTTGGACTGTGAATTTCATTGACTGATGAAGCCATGTTGGTTTTGGTTTGACCACCACTAGCTCTTTTTTAACCTGACCTTATGTCAGCTAACATTGCTCATCGAGGAAGGCGATGGGTAGACATGCATGCGTAACACATGCCCTAACCATCTAAGTCAATGTAACTTCACAGTCTTCCACGGTGTGGGCAGCCGAGAAGTAACAACCACCCACACACTTCCAAAAGCATTTTCAGGCTTAAAACACGCACTTCAAACTTACCAAAGTTTGACTAACCAGATATGGTTCATTTCTAAATGTATTAACATGCATGTTGTTTGTTCAAGTAACAATTTTTCATTTTGTTTACATTAAACGTTGAGATTAAATATTAAAATTTATAAGATATTTTATAGTGAAAAAACGATATTAAACCATAATATAAGAGTATTTATAGATGCCAAACTTTAGTATATTTTTTAAATAAGTTTATTAAGTTTCCAGGAGATTAGAAGTAAACTGTTGTGAAAAGAAATAGGATTCAGTCATTTAATCCTAAAATATTATGGCTTTAAAGAATTTCACGCATAACACCTCCCCTGATATGATTGGCTGGGAAGTATCAGTAACTTTAGAATTATAGATGATGTTATAGGACACAACCTTATAATCAGCGTATAACATGGTTTATCACTGTGATAAGGAAAGCATATAAATGCAGAAAATGAGTGCGAAATATGTGTATTTAAATATAACCAATTTATGGCGCTTCATAAATATCAATTTACTGTTTACCCATTATTCACCTGAATATTTCATTAGACTACATAGACATACTGTGTCGTGCGCTATTGATAATATTTATCAGTAGTATATAAAAAGTTCATTACTATTATTATCTATTATTATTCCCTTGGGTTCCGAGTATAACATAGGGCTTCAACAACACATCTCCACTTTCTTCTACTCTCTGCTGTCCTTTTCAACTGAGTCCACGATTGCCCATAAACACTTATCTCCTCCTTGCTATATGATCTCCTTCATGTCAACCTCACAGTGATGCCCCGCTTGTCGCTTCCCATTGGGATTCCACTCGACAGATGTATTGCGCGCAATGCCATTCGATGGCCCTCTCAATGTATGCCTGATCCGTCTTCACTTCCTCCTACATATTTGTTGAGCAGTCGCCTCTTCGTTGGTTCATCGCCAGTTAGAGTTTCTTGTTGCTAATTCTTCCTGGTCGACCGGTCGTTTCACCTTCAGTAAGGAGCCAGAGAAGGTGACACCTGTTGATATAGGTTTGCAGCCTGTTGCAAATGCTTTTCATGACCCGTATAGAAGAATCGACTTCACGTTTGCGTCAAACAGAATCTGAATCTTGTTCTGTATGCTGAGGCGGAGTGCAGTTGATGAAGGCGTATCTTGCCTTTCCGATTTTGGCTGGCTGGCTTTCACATCTTCATCCATTCCGCTGGCCTTTGATTGAAGCTGTGCTTCCTAGATAAGTGAAGTAAGTAATCTCCATCAAATCTCTCCAGTTGATGCCGATTGGTGAGACGTTCATTGACATAAAAATATCAAATAGAGGAGAAATAGATTAGACATCAAACAAAAGCATATGAATTAGCTTTGCGGCAAAACATGGGAAACACGAAAACGAGGCAAAGAAACACAATACGAGGGGAAGCAGTAATACAACATGGAAGATCTGTGCAAATGATGATTTGCAGATGATCTGTACATAATTTTGTTATATAGCGATACCAAATTCCAAATGAACATTATTTCACCAAGTATCTCGTCTTCAACCGTCACAATAGTATTGTCATCAGATAATAAATACATCAGATGTTAAGGAATAAAGTCGTTCGCAGAGAATGGTGACAATAAAGCGACATTTAAGATCTCCTCCTGTGATTGTTTTTCACATATTTTATTGGTTGTTTTAGAACTATCTACACCGTTTTAAAAGTCATCGTGGTTACTGATCCTATATCTTTGAGGCAAATAATTAGAGATTTCAATACACATGACAATTATAGTCTCGAATTACTGGAAACTATTGGGTGATTCTTTCATATATATAAATAGAAGTTATCATTTTAAGAGTTTATTAGCTTATATATATGCTGAGATTTTGCGAATTCAGGTTTAATAATACTTTGATAAAGCTATTAGCATTAAATAGCGAAACGTCAGTAAAAACAATATCGTTTTGTTTTTCATTCATTGGGAAATACAAAAACCTTTATTATAGTGAATATCATAAACCCAATGCCCAAAATTTTTTTCAAACTGTAAAAGGTGAACTTGGTTTGGACATATATAACTTTATTAGCCTGTGTATAAACTGTTGAATGTGTGAGTGGAAAGTATTCAATAATTGAAAATTGTGTGACAACAGAAGGAAGTGATTGGGGGTCTTAGGTCGACATCTTGTTAATGATGTAATGGATGATGACTGAAGTAATAAATAATTATTTAATTTAATTATTTTTTTGGTTACAGGATTTCATGATGAGCTGACATTGGTTAGAGAACCATTGGAAAACCTGGGTGAGCAATTTAAATGATGTATATATATATATGAGTTGGTGGTTTAGCGGTATACTGGCTGCGAAATATGCAGCCAGGGCTCAAATCCCGGCTGACAACTTCTAACACTCTCAGCCGGTAATAAGCCTTGTATAGAGGGTAGGTTGGGAGTGAGAGGCTAGCAACCCTGCGCTGCAAAAAGAACACTGCTACTGAAGTTTCAAAGTTCAAGTCTGAAGCTGTATGTCCCACCCAGAACGCAAACAAATAAATTACAATGTGTACAACTTACTTCAAATCTAACAATGGCAGCATCATGTTGTTTAATAAATCTAGGAGATATTTCTGTTTTTTGATTTGTTCGTTTATCTAATTTGCAGATAATTGTGCGTAAGCGCACCTCTTTCATACACGTGTGAATATGAAGCACAGCCATAAATCCTGGACATATGATAGATTTATAATCGAGAATAAGTAATTGAGCATCAAATACATTTGAAACCTGAAAAGTACAAAAAAATGAAAGTCAAACTTAAATTTTAGAATAATCTGAAATAAATTATATGCTATGTGAATTTGAAATGGCATTTCAATGAAATTGGATTAATATGACGCGCAGTTCAAGCAACAACTCCCCCACCCGGTGCATGCTCACGTCACTTTTCAAGTAGGTGTGCACTGAAAGCTACATTTAGATCAACTCAATTGTGAAAGATTCTGAATCATTTCATCAAGAGTCACGAAATGCTGATTCTTAGCGTCATTCTAATCCCAGAACATCAATCTGCATTCACCGACTAGCTTTATACAAAGAGTGAATGACTTCATACAACGACGTTTTCCGAAATAAATTCTATTTCAGCTGATATTGCTTTTCAGGGGAAGATATAAATCGAAATATGGAACACGTCCCCCCTACCAATTTCAATCAATGAAGCTCTATAACCCTGTTAGTCAGTTTATCCCTCTTGCCGAAGTTTGAACCTAACATCACCGTTCCTTACTACACGTGTACAAGTAACACCAGAAATTGAAAGGTATTTGTGATCACACACTTTGTATCTTCTAGTTTATGCGACCATTTCTCATAATATTAAAATAAGGTTGAATGAATCACTGACAATTAACTGGTACGAGCTAAGAAATGACAATCAGGACTTTATCAATAATCATATAATAAGGGATGGTGTGATTAATACATACAAATATTTCACTCCCGATGCTTAAAATCGAGCTGAGATCACCATAGAGCTGACAGAAGTGGCCCGCTGAGGAAGTTCAGAAAACTATTTGTCAACGCCCTTGACTAAGAAGATTGCAGCGTCTGCGTAATTTAAATCAACGGAAGTTTCTCTTGTTGGCTAGTCCATCTGTGAGACTTTGTAATCAGCTAGAATCACATCCATCACTACATCTCAGATGTAAGCCAGTAACTGTTACCACTCCAGACGATTCCTCGTCATAGGCTATTACATGGTTGCTTGAATTCGACTTAAGTGTATTGATCGATCTGACGTACTTACTACAAAGATAAAAACTGCCGTTGTTAAGGTGAGACAAATGGTAAGTTTTAGATGACTGAGTATATTTATTTACATCAAACAGTGATGTAGTAAACAAGTCATTATGGCTAAAATTATAAAGAAGAACAGTGTGGTTAGGCTGGAAACTAAACGAAGATGGAGTGTACGGATGGCTATCACATGGCCTATATGTATCATTTACTTATTACAAATAATGAATCAAAGAAATCAACAATGTGAAGAATACCAGAGGAAGTGTGGTCACAATGTTGACGAAAATCTTTAAATGCCATCACACAATGAGACAACCACAAAACTCGTCTCTATTGATACAGCTTAGGTAACTCAGCTATTGAAAAATTGAATGTAAATTTTCAGCTACTTGTAGAAAAAATGAAAAGTCCAGATGCTGATGTGAAATAATAACTTCAGTTTAAGCACTAAACACTAAACCTGATACAATGAACACAATTTCTAGTAAGCAACTGCTGAGTTTATGTTTACTATGTGGACGAATAATGTAGTGAAAAAAGTACCCAGAATTTGTTTTTAAATAAGATCTGTAACACAAATTTGTTGTGAGGATGAGAAACACTAGCTTGACAGAAGAAAAACGCAGCAACCTTCACTTTTAAATACTTGACAACTACGGCTGAATATATGAAAATTACTCACCACCAGAAATTAGAATTTTTCATTATCAACTAATAGAGAGAACGTTCGACTTTTATTTACTAGTGAACTGCTTTTAAAACTACTCATAGGATAGAATGAAACCAAACTTAAACAGATATTCCACACATACTCTTCGTAACTTGTGATAATAACTCAGTTATACACCTTTTGAGGAGCAATTATAGACCAACTTTGATTTGTCTTTGTGTAAGTAGTGAGTATATACGATATTCTATTGCCTACCAAAATTGCAAGTAGTTATTAGTGTGAAATATTTCAAACAAAACCATTATTTTTATTCGAATACAATCACTGTGGTCTACCTGACAGAAATTATTGAGAGAGCAAAAGCAGAAGCCTGGACTGATGTCTTCCTCATCAATATTCTTCAATTTGAGCTTGCAGTGTTCTCCAGCAGCAGCGCTGTTAACCTCAACATCGCCTACGAATACCTTTTCAATAAGACAAAAAATATATATAACGAAATTAAGTAAGATAGAAAAAGGGACAATAATGGCTTTCAGATGAAATGGTGTACAAGGAAAGTTTCTTATTCAAAAGACAATGAATTTGTAGTACAAACTAGAAAATATTGGTATCAGGATTTAGCATTCATCGTCTTACTGAAAATGTACTCGAAAGGTGTGAACTATAGTCTAGGAAAAAATTTGTTAACTGTATCTGCATATTTTAACTGATAGGTTTCCCAGTACACTATTGTCATAAAATCACAATAAGAATTAGGAATCCTAATGGGCAACTGTAAGTAAATATGAAAAGTCTGCACCAAAGAAAGGACCAGACACGTCACACTAGTCACTAGTGTCCAATCAAACTACCCACTACTGTCTGTCTGTCTGTTTTCGACATAGAACTTTGCACATATGTGCACCAGTTCAAGTCGCTACACTTCCTCCATGTAGCACACAAAGCAAGAGAAGAAAGTAGAAGAAATGCATAATAGAGACAGTAAGCAGAGGTGTGAGACAAAGGAAGGGTAATAACGAAGAACAAAACAGTTTCATTGGAAATCATAAGTCACAAGGAGTGGATGCATCTGCAACACTAGGCAGCTCTTTAGACTCATCAGGGAAACGGGTGGGAGAAGGCAAATCATTAGTGAAACAATCTCGGAGAAAAATGGCACCATAATTAGCTCCCAGGATAGACGACTGGAACGCTGGAAAGAGCACTATGAGGAGCAGTTTAATTGGCCCATAGCCACGCTCAACCTGCAGAACATCCAACACCTCCATGAATGGGATATAGACACAGGTCCTCCATCCCTAACTGAGGTTACTAAAGCTGTCACCAATCTGAAACTAGGCAAAGCAGCGGGACCTGATGGAATGACTCCAGAGGTATTTAAGTACGGTGGAGACAGTTTACTGTCTGCACTAACTGAGGTAATAGGCAGTGTCTGGGAATCAGAAGAAGTCCCATCGGGTTGGTGTAAGTCACTGATTATCCCCATATACAAGAAGGGAGACAAGTCTTCCTGTGATAATCACAGAGAGATTAGCTTGACTAATATAGTATCTAAAGTCTTAGGCTCAATAATCATGCGTAGACTGAGTGGTGCTCGGGAGGCACAAACACGAGAGAGCCAGGCAGGCTTTAGACCAGGAAGAGGGTGTATTGATCATATATTCACCCTCCGAAAGATTCTAGAACATAGGAATTCCTACCGGCGTCCAACAGTCATTATATTTCTTGACCTAAAGGCAGCATTCGACTCTGTCGATCGGGAAGTTCTCTGGAGATGCTTGGCTGTAAAGGGAATTCCAAGAAAATATATTGCACTGATTAAGGCACTCTATTCGTACTCATACAGCCAGGTGACGGCTTACGGCGAGCTGTCATCTGAACTGATGACGACCAGTGGTGTCCGTCAAGGATGCCCATTATCTCCTTTTCTATTCAACTTCATCATAGATGTGTTAATGGACTTAACCCTAGGTGACTTCAGTGACTCAGGAATTGACTTGCTACCGGGGAATAATCTCGTTGACTTGGAATATGCAGACGATATAGTCCTTCTAGGCGAAGACGCTGACGAAATGCAGAGTCTTCTAAACACCTTGAGCCGCAATCTACGAATGTTTGGCATGCGATTCGCTCCCGCCAAATGCAAGATGATGTTACAGGACTGGACTACATCGACGCCTAGTTTAAAAATAGGAAGTGAAGTGGTAGAGCACGTTGACCGCTTCACTTATTTGGGAAGTACCATCAGCCCCAACGGGCTGATCTCTGACGAAATCTCAGCACGAATACAAGGGGCTCGTTTCGCATTTGTTAGTTTACGCCGACTCTGGCGTAGACGAGATGTTCGACTATCGACCAAAGGGCGGGTGTACTGCTCATCAGTCCGCTCCGTCCTCCTTTATGGTTGTGAGACCTGGTCACTGAGAGTGGAAGACATGAAAAGACTAGCTGTCTTTGATCATAGGTGCCTGCGTTCTATTTCCCGTGTAAAGTGGCATAATAAGGTGAGCAACATGGAGGTTAGGCGTAGAGTTCTAGGTAAACAGGGGAAATCAATCGACGAAGTCGTGAAGCTACAAAGACTGAGATGGTTAGGACATGTGTTACGTATGCCAAGTCATCGCCTCCCTCGACGAGCAATGTTAGCGGATATAGGGTCAGGCTGGAAAAAAGCTAGCGGCGGTCAAACAAAAACTTGGCATCAGTCAATGAAATCCACAACAGTTGGTCTAAGCCACGTAGGAAGGTGTAGACTTCCTGGTTGGGGTCCTCGGGACGGTAAAAACCAATGGTTGGAAACAATTGGTGATATTGCTCAAAATCGTTCTCAATGGCGCAGATGCATCCACTCCTTGTGACTTATGATTTCCAATGAAACTGTTTTGTTCTTCGTTATTACTTCCTTTGTCTCACACCTCTGCTTACTGTCTCTATTATGCATTTCTTCTACTTTCTTCTCTTGCTTTGTGTGCTACATGGGGAAGTGTAGCGACTTGAACTGGTGCACATATGTGCAAAGTTCTATGTCGAAAACAGAGAGAGAAACAGATGCATCTGCGCCAGTCATTCAGAACGATTTTGAGCCATGTCACCAATTGTTTCCAGCCATTGGTTTTTACCGTCCCGAGGATCCCAACCAGGAAGTTAGGCAGTCTACGCCTTCCTACGTGGCTTATACTAACTGTTGTAGATTTCACTGACGTGCTATGTTTTGGTTTGACCGCCGCTACCCACTACAGTCCTACAGGAGATCAATCGCGAGCCCGAATAGCTCAGTGGTAACGTCTCTGATTGCAGCACTGGGTGACGCGGGTTCGAACCTCAGAAGTGACATGTTCCTTCAAGGTCGCAGATACGCCTCGATGATGAGTGCCAACTAGTCCGAAACCTAGGTGGAAGGCTTCCTGCCGATTGCCTCCGACTATTTAATATCATCAAATCAATGTGCACCGTGATGGCGAGCTACCTAGCACGGTGGCCACTTCGCAAACCTGACTGATAGAATTCAGTGTGCACCAAAGAAAGGACTAGACACGTCACACTAGTTAGTAGTGTCCAACTAAGAAAAGATATAACAACCCCTTTTAATCACTTTGCCATATTGAAATATATGGCAATTAGTTTTGCATGTAGTAAAAATACAATAATTAAATGTGTTGAATTTTATAATAGCAAAATAATCTATCAATTGAAATTATTATTAAACTGTGGTAACATGGATACAATTTCAGCTCATGTAAATTTACCAGTTAAAGTAATAACGTGTTACATACGTAACACACTCAAATTAACTATTACAGATAAAATGTCAATGGAATATCGCCTCTATTCAGTAGAACAGAAAACAAAAGTAGGCCAGGTCCAACTGATGAGTCATTTAGTAAGAATAAAAAGATTATCATGAACATCTTAATGTTTGAGATCTACACATCTTGTAGTTTTAACTTCATAAAGTCCATAATATAGAGAGTTGAATGAGAACTAACCACAGTATACAAAAGTTAAGACGTATGTAGTATTACAAAACAAGAATGTTCACTATATAACTACAGCTATAATAGTATTTTTGACTGCAAATCGTCATAGCCACATACAATGTGCCAATCAAACACTAGATTTTGTGGCAAGTTGACAAAGTTCGCTAGCAATTCTAATGTGCAAACTAAGTCAATACATGTGTTCGATTACATAAGGAGTTGAAGGTAGGGAACAGTTCCATATTTTTCAGAAAGTAGCAAAAATAGTTACCGGTAAGCCAAATGGTAGGTGAAAACAATCTTATAAATGTACCAAAATCTGAATCACAATACTGAGGAGTATTAATGCTTCAAACTTTAATTATAGAAGTAAAAATTCGAAACATATGCATCTGAAAATCAGCAGCATTCTTCATGGAACTTCAAACTAAAAAGCAACAAGTCTTACCTGCATAACTTCGACGTTCACTCTGTTTGGCATCAACACTATGGTTTCACCTTTCGACACCGATCCAGATTCGACTTTTCCAGAAGCGTACGTGCCCATGTCCTTGTACCTGTCAGTTACAGTAAGCCTCAAAGGGCCATCTGTTTTTCGAGAGAAACTAGGGAGACTATCAAGATATTCCAATAAGCTCGGACCCCTATACCACGAGCAGACTGATTCACTGGGGATATCACGAAGGAAAGCTCCATCAAATCCTGAACACGGCATACAGTAAACATCGGTTTTTATGTTAAAGCCGATTTTCTTTAAAAAGGGTAAAATCTTATCTTTGCATTCATTGTAACGGACTTCATCCCATAAAACTGTCGGGTCATCCATTTTGTTGACTACTACAATAAGATGCTTAACACCGGCAGTTTTTACTAGCAAAGCATGCTCTCTTGTTTGTCCACCCTTTTCAAACCCTGTTTCAAACTCTCCACGTCTCGCTGATATAACCAATATAGCAATATCGGCAACAGCTGCTCCTGATATCATGTTAGGTACAAAGGATTTGTGACCGGGAGCATCAATCAAAACGAACCTTTTCTTTTGAGTCTCAAAGTAGGCACGTCCACATTCAACTGTTTTCCCTTTGTCTCGCTCTTCCGGATTTGTATCCAACGCCCAAGATAAATACCAAGACTCCCGATTTTTTTCCTTAGCTTCACGCTCATATTTTTCCAAAGTCCTCTTATCGACCATATCTACAAACATCAGGCCATCAAAAATTAAGGTTACCTGTTAGAAACAGTAAGTGGCCACCAATTGTAGATTTTCCTGCATCCACATGACCAATGAACACTAAATTAAGTGTATCTTTATCTGGGACAATGGTTAACGTCTTAAAATCTAGTTCAAATTCATGGATATGCATACCTTCTTAGGAACATCTTCTTCTTTATCTAAACTAACGTCTGAATGCCATGTTATATTATAAAAATGTGCACCTACCTTCTTCTTGTACTTCACTAGATGGTATAGATTCACTTGGAGTTTCAACCTCAGGAGGGATGCAAGGGACTACTTCAGGGATTGGGGGTGGTTTGAAAATAAATGGCTGACCGGGTATAAATTCAGGAGCATCTACATTCAACTGGGAAAATTTTGTAGTGACAGAACCATTTGTATCTAACTGATCTTCCCACGAAGCCATTGCGTTGGAATGCAGCGCGTGAACGTTACAAGGACAAATAGTGACACAAATAAGTAAGAGGCTTCATGAAATTAGGATGGAAACATATTCATTAGGGATATCAGGAGTTTAATACACTAAATGTTATTGGTACCTGCAATTAGAATATTTGAAAAACATATTGTTATATGAATTTTTAAAGAGTAACTTGGTGTATGTATTCAGACCAAAACTTTTCATGCAATACAAACCTGTTGCGGAAATTATTTGAACTTTGTCGGAAATGGTGAGTGTTTTTTTCGAGCTGATTTTTACTGCCAACACCATGGATAAAATATCAGGGTCTGTCTTGAAGCGAGGCTATATAATAATACACTTTTTCATTTGGAATATGGTAAGCATATGTCTGAAGGTTTCTCTGTAAGCAAATCTCCGTCGAAGCTGTCACACCGCTTGTTTGTTGGTACTCTAATGTTGTAATGAGACTTAAGCATCATTTAATAATAGTTTAAAAAAGCATGAAACAAACGTGTGCCTGAAGGTCTTTTGCATAGCCAAAAACAGTTATGAGTAATTAAGAATGAAGTGTAACTTTTCAGAGACAGTATCCTGCTTATATTCTTTGCCAGATCGCCATTTCCTTAGTGATAGAGAGTAGTTTGATTGAACTTGTAAAAGATCATTCCTCTGGCTGTAAATAATTCCCTAAAATTATAAGCCTGCAGCCCTCAAAATCACTCAACATGAGATGCCGACTTTGACTGCTTGGGCCCACTTGTTAGGCTGCAAGTAAGCTGTCAATTATCTCGATCGCACAACACAATGTTGTTTTTCAGTGCCAGTGACTGATCTCCAGTAAGTTTATCGCATGCAGCTTAACAGAATCTACCCAACCTGTTGCTTTGTTTTGGCTTGCTAGATGTTGGCTGGTCACATCGAATAATTGTTTTACAGATTGGAAGACTGTACGCTCGCAATTTCCTGTCGTATCTGATACACCCGTAAATATTTCTCAACTAAATTTCCTTGAAACTCGTAGAGAATCTTGAGCTGGATTATTTACCCCAACCTGATAAGTTAGAGGATCAAAATAAGGGATCGGTCAATTAGTCAGTAAAGTGTCACTTCAATAATAGTGCCCAAACATAACATGTGCAGACCACATTTTTATTTGATACAATAGATTACGTGACAAAAATGTTCGTAAAGTAATTTCACCGAAATACGAAACATGTCATTTAATTCATATTCACATATAAGTAAGAGAAGTAGCCTTCGTTCATTTTGGGTAATACTGCAGATCTGTAAAAGCTGACGTCAGACGTACTTCAAGATAAATCAGAAACGAAATAATTATTCGGGGGGGGGCTACATTATTAGGCTATCGGATGTGCAGATAAAGGGTAATAAAGTATGCTACAGACTAATGGAATTTAATATGGGCCGGAAGCGGTTAGTCAGACAACGAAAGAAAAAGAGTTCTACTAAAAAGAGTTATGTGTTTCGATGTGTGCGTCACCGGAAGGATGCGCAGCATATGTAGCTGCAGGTAATTCCCAAATAACTATGCTTCTTGTGGGACAACTATAAACAGTTTGTCACAAACTTTAGGCCAGCCTAAATTTCGGCTTCGAAAGGTAGGAATTTTATTAACGGTTGTAGTCGTGGTGGATGAAATTCGGAAACAAGCCACATAACAGTGGCCATGACAACATCGACAAGAACGTATCAAGGATGAAGAACGAAATACAGTACTACAGTGTCAAGTAGCCAAGGAGGTGACCGTGTCAGAATCTTAAACAATCTTTCAAAGGAGTATAAGTGACAAGGCCTTATCGTGTGATTTCATGGTATGATTGAATTTTAATAACATCCATGAACATTTCAACATATCTAGGTGATTTCTACTGGCATTCTGGTATTGGGTGGAAATCAGATATTCCAATTTAAAGTCTCATCCAGTGAACTGTATACGTGTTCGCATCTTTCATTTGTGAAATGGGCCGTAGTAATTGCTTAGTCTCAATGCTCGGATATAATTATCATTCCTTAGCAATGCTCCGAATATCTTTGAGCGATACATATTTTAGAATGGACCGGATTTTTTTCTTGCAACAGACTGAAAGGAACCGTATAGACTTCAGTATATCTTTCCTTCATTTTTGAAATACAGCCCTAAAGCCATTGAATATTGAAACTTGTGATCTCACTTTTAAAATTGAAGGCCGATCTTAATCTAAAATAATAAGTTGGTGTGTAGGTACGTTGGTTTAGCAAACTAGTCCTTATTATCGTGTTGGCTTACTTTAAAGTTTCGTGTTATCGTTCTCCTAGGTCTTATATTCAAGCTCAAATGTATTATATTATGTTAAACTTTAAATGAACGCAGATGTCTGAATAATTACTAATAGGGCGAAGTTAAAGAATCGTAGCCAAGGTCAATCTATTTCGAAAGCTGACCTCCCAGAACCGCTCACACACAGGGAACGCTGTGAAGTGTTGTTCCAAATCTCATCATTCCGGCTTTTTTGAACTTTGAGGAGATGGACACATTATTCTACCTATTTACTAGTTACTCTGCAAATATATACTGTTAAGTAAGGTTATGGCGTTTGAGGTTTAGGGTTAAAGTTAGGATTATGGAGAGAGTTAGCAGTAGGTTGGAGAATAGTGTCAGAAATGTCAATGGATCTCAAAGTACTGTAACCTACAGTCAACTAGATTAGTAGGTACATCGCGCATGGTACGATTTCTCTATAGATCCTCTGTGTATTGACTGAGACATTCTTGCAACGCAAGTCAAAGCTGTGTAGTGTAAAATCATGTTTGCAATATTTCTTAGAGTATTTTTCAAGGATTTTGAGACTTCATACCTAAATTCTGATTGGTGATTCAGGGTCACCGTGGTTTTGGCTATGATAGTTTAAGTTTGCCACTAAGAGTACCTAGAAGATCGAATTTCTCATTTTTCTTGAGTATAGAGGATAAGAAAATTTGTTCATGTTTCTTGCACTGATACCCTAAATACTCTCACTTTCAGGGTGTTCAAGATTCCCTTATATTTAAGACACGGGCTCCACTTATCTATGGGTGGAGTACAAATGTTGCACATAGTAGTTAGTTCGTAACTCATTTCTAGAATTAACGGAATCAAATCTCCAATCTTTTTAGTTAGAGGTGTACATTGCAAGTATTAACGGGCTCCCCGAAACTTGTCCTTCTTCCCTGGAAACTGCAGGTTCCGAAATACTATCGTTGTCTACTGATGCTAGCACACTGATTATACAACTTAATAAATGAAGCAAAATAAAAATTACACCATACATGCTCAACAGACCCTCTCTAGCTGCCAATTAGTGATGAACTGTAAGCCTCGTATGGTCAGAAGTCATTATGTCTGTCTGTCTGTTTTCGACATAGAACTTTGCACAAATGTGCGGAAGTTCAAGTCGCCACATTCCGTGTAGCACGCGAAGCAAGAGAAGAAAGTACAAGAAAAGCATAATAGAGACAGTGAGCAGAGGTGTGAGACAAAGGAGTAATAAAGAAATACTACACAGTTTCATTGGAAATCATAAGTCACAAGAAGTGGATGCATCTGCGCCACTGAGAACGATTTTGAGCCATGTCACCAATTGTTTCCAACCATAGATTTTTACCGTCCCGAGGACCCCAACCAGTCAGGAAGTCCACACCTTTCTACGTGGCTTAGACCAACTGTTGTGGATTTCATTGACTGATGCCAAGTTTTTGTTTGACCGCCGCTAGCTTTTTTCCAGCCTGACCCTATATCCGTTAACATTGCTCGTCGAGGGAGGCGATGACTAGGCATACGTAACACATGTCCTAACCATCTCAGTCTTTGTAGCTTCACGACTTCGTCGATTGATTTCCCCTGTTTACCTAGAACTCTACGCCTAACCTCCATGTTGCTCACCTTATTATGCCACTTTACACGGGAAATAGAACGCAGGCACCTATGATCAAAGACAACTAGTCTTTTCATGTCTTCCACTCTCAGTGACCAGGTCTCACAACCATAAAGGAGGACGGAGCGGACTGATGAGCAATACACCCGCCCTTTGGTTGATAGTCGAACATCTCGTCTACGCCAGAGTCAGCGTAAACTAACAAATGCGAGACGAGCCCCTTGTATTCGTGCTGAGATTTCGTCAGAGATCAGCCCGTTGGGGCTGATGGTACTTCCCAAATAAGTGAAGCGGTCAACGTGCTCTACCACTTCACTTCCTATTTTTAAACTAGGCGTCGATGTAGTCCAGTCCTGTAACATCATCTTGCATTTGGCGGGAGCGAATCGCATGCCAAACATTCGTAGATTGCGGCAGAAGTCATTATAGCTAGTAGTATTCATCTTCGTATCAACCAAGTAATTATTGTGGAATTACTGTTCAAGAGTAGAAAAAGTTGTCCACTAACATGACAGTGTAGTTAAATGGCTAGAACTCAGTTACTCAAAAGAGGTTCTTCATGCACTAGTGTGTGGACCATACTTACCTGAGGTATCATAGTCAAACCTATTTACTCTGGCTAAACTAAAGGGGAGAAACTCCTCTTTGCCCGTTATTTTTCAATGTTTCCTTTTCATTACAATTTCCGTACTACTTTCTGTATTTCTCTTCTACAGCTGAATATCCCACGCAACTTAGCCACATGTAGTTAATTAAATCAGTCCCTGGTTAGGACTTTCGTTCACCTATTGGGTTTTGAGGGTTTACAAGCAGTAGATGTAAATATTTAATGACGGTAACGTCCACTTGTATTCATAGCACTTATCAAAACGTAAGTGAGCAATTGCGCCAATCGTTTTTATAATGAGGAGTGATTTCGGCACAGACTGCTGACTCAAGTGTATTATCATTTCATGAGCGTGGTTATAATAAGACAATGTATAATCAAATTATAGCGGGATAGATATTGTCAGGCCGAGTTTCCGGAATAGCTATTTGGAAATCTAAAACATATTGGAGAGAAGATCTGCTTGTCAAAAATTATGCGTCTTTAAATTTCTCAGTAACAAACACCTTAGTGATCGAGAATTTTCGGCACCTTACTGAACTGATAGTTAAACTGTCGTGAATACAGGCAACTGTCGTATCACAGCCTCGTTATTATGCTGTCTTAAAATGGCTTCTAACATGATCCCCGGAAAACTTTTCTATACCACTGGGATTATTACTACATTATTATCATAACTATTATTTAAAGACATTTAACCTGATATCTGCATCATGAGCTATGCCAGTTGATAGTAATAAGCAATGGGGGAACCGGTAAGTATACTTATTACGTAAATCGAAGGCATTGTACACTACTTCCTCGTAGTTTCAGTAGTAGAAGAAATGAAAAACTAACATCACTTTAGGTCCTAACTCGTTTCAGACACTGTTTCAAGTCTTGGAGTCGTATGGTTCATCATACATTACTTGGGGAGTTTTAACCCATCAGCAGATACTAACTGAAAACAGTTGTATTTTCATTACGCTACATCATGAGTTGACCATCTGATTTCTAAACCATTGTGCTGTGTGGAAGCTGCTGAGATGAAATTCATAATTCACATGTACACGTTGAAAGGCGCAATTCAAAGATGACTTAATTGACTAAAGGATGATCTCCACAATGTCCAAAACGTGTCATCAGACGACACCATTGCTTGCAGTATGTCATTTACTCCTACAAAGACTCCGTCAAGGATGCCCATATCTCCTTTTCTATTCAACTTCATCATAGATGTGTTAATGGACTTAACCCTAGGTGACTTGAGTGACTCAGGAATTGACTTGCTACCGGGGAATAATCTCGTTGACTTGGAATATGCAGACGATATAGTCCTTCTAGGCGAAGACGCTGACGAAATGCAGAGTCTTCTAAACACCTTGAGCCGCGATCTACGAATGTTTGGCATGCGATTCGCTCCCGCCAAATGCAAGATGATGTTACAGGACTGGACTACATCGACGCCTAGTTTAAAAATAGGAAGTGAAGTGGTAGAGCACGTTGACCGCTTCACTTATTTGGGAAGTACCATCAGCCCCAACGGGCTGATCTCTGACGAAATCTCAGCACGAATACAAGGGGCTCGTTTCGCATTTGTTAGTTTACGCCGATTCTGGCGTAGACGAGATGTTCGACTATCGACCAAAGGGCGGGTGTATTGCTCATCAGTCCGCTCCGTCCTCCTTTATGGTTGTGAGACCTGGTCACTGAGAGTGGAAGACATGAAAAGACTAGTTGTCTTTGATCATAGGTGCCTGCGTTCTATTTCCCGTGTAAAGTGGCATAATAAGGTGAGCAACATGGAGGTTAGGCGTAGAGTTCTAGGTAAACAGGGGAAATCAATCGACGAAGTCGTGAAGCTACAAAGACTGAGATGGTTAGGACATGTGTTACGTATGCCTAGTCATCGCCTCCCTCGACGAGCTATGTTAGCGGATATAGGGTCAGGCTGGAAAAAAGCTAGCGGCGGTCAAACAAAAACTTGGCATCAGTCAATGAAATCCACAACAGTTGGTCTAAGCCACGTAGGAAGGTGTAGACTTCCTGACTGGTTGGGGTCCTCGGGACGGTAAAAATCTATGGTTGGAAACAATTGGTGACATGGCTCAAAATCGTTCTCAGTGGCGCAGATGCATCCACTTCTTGTGACTTATGATTTCCAATGAAACTGTGTAGTATTTCTTTATTACTCCTTTGTCTCACACCTCTGCTCACTGTCTCTATTATGCTTTTCTTGTACTTTCTTCTCTTGCTTCGCGTGCTACACGGAATGTGGCGACTTGAACTTCCGCACATTTGTGCAAAGTTCTATGTCGAAAACAGACAGACAGACAAAGACGACATTGACCAAACAAGGTTGTCACTGCTGTAATTTTGCAATCTACTCATATCTGTTTGTCTGTTTGTTTGTTTTCGACATAGAACTTTGCACAAATGTGCGGAAGTTCAAGTCGCCACATTCCGTGTAGCACGCGAAGCAAGAGAAGAAAGCACAAGAAAAGCATAATAGAGACAGTGAGCAGAGGTGTGAGACAAAGGAGTAATAAAGAAATACAAAACAGTTTCATTGGAAATCATAAGTCACAAGAAGTGGATGCATCTGCGCCACTGAGAACGATTTTGAGCCATGTCACCAATTGTTTCCAACCATAGATTTTTACCGTCCCGAGGACCCCAGCCTGGAAGTCTACACCTTCCTACGTGGCTTAGACCAACTGTTGTGGATTTCATTGACTGATGCCAAGTTTTTGTTTGACCGCCGCTAGCTTTTTTCCAGCCTGACCCTATATCCGCTAACATAGCTCGTCGAGGGAGGCGATGACTTGGCATACGTAACACATGTCCTAACCATCTCAGTCTTTGTAGCTTCACGACTTCGTCGATTGATTTCCCCTGTTTACCTAGAACTCTACGCCTAACCTCCATGTTGCTCACCTTATTATGCCACTTTACACGGGAAATAGAACGCAGGCACCTATGATCAAAGACAGCTAGTCTTTTCATGTCTTCCACTCTCAGTGGCCAGGTCTCACAACCATAAAGGAGGACGGAGCGGACTGATGAGCAGTACACCCGCCCTTTGGTCGATAGTCGAACATCTCGTCTACGCCAGAGTCGGCGTAAACTAACAAATGCGAAACGAGCCCCTTGTATTCGTGCTGAGATTTCGTCAGAGATCAGCCCGTTGGGGCTGATGGTACTTCCCAAATAAGTGAAGCGGTCAACGTGCTCTACCACTTCACTTCCTATTTTTAAACTAGGCGTCGATGTAGTCCAGTCCTGTAACATCATCTTGCATTTGGCGGGAGCGAATCGCATGCCAAACATTCGTAGATTGCGGCTCAAGGTGTTTAGAAGACTCTGCATTTCGTCAGCGTCTTCGCCTAGAAGGACTATATCGTCTGCATATTCCAAGTCAACGAGATTATTCCCCGGTAGCAAGTCAATTCCTGAGTCACTGAAGTCACCTAGGGTTAAGTCCATTAACACATCTATGATGAAGTTGAATAGAAAAGGAGATAATGGGCATCCTTGACGGACACCACTGGTCGTCATCAGTTCAGATGACAGCTCGCCGTAAGCCCTCACCTGGCTGTATGAGTACGAATAGAGTGCCTTAATCAGTGCAATATATTTTCTTGGAATTCCCTTTACAGCCAAGCATCTCCAGAGAACTTCCCGATCGACAGAGTCGAATGCTGCCTTTAGGTCAAGAAATATAATGACTGTTGGACGCCGGTAGGAATTCCTATGTTCTAGAATCTTTCGGAGGGTGAAGATATGATCTACTCATATGCATTAGATAAGGAGTAGCTTTCTTCACTATTTTCAAAGAACTGAATTGGTCAGATATGCTATCGATCAGCTTCCCTGCCTGAGTTGTCTCAAAGGTAAACCTAAGTCTAGTGGTTGAGAAGCATGATTCTTAAAATTAGAACAGTTTTCTGTAAGGTGAAAAATCTTTTGTATGCCTGGAGGTGACTGTAGTTCAGAGGTAGTGTCTAATTATGAGGGGTCTACGGAGATGGGAGGTTTACTCTGTGACTTTTGCTTCAGAAAGTGATTAGAGATTATTTTTCGTTGCCATAGTCTTTATTCATATAGATTTGCAAAAACCGCATGTGAATAATGCTTCTTTTTGTGTATCTAGACGTCGACGATTTTTATCAATTTGGTGAGAGTAATTACCGACCACTAACTACTTTTTGTTTATTTTCCAGTTTTTGACTCAAAGTTTTGTTAAAATTTATTTTTCAGGCCGGATATCTCACCATTTTGTTGGAAGTATCTATCTGTCTCCTTAGGTCCATGTTTATTATCTCCTTCTTGATAATATTATTTTTTGATCGTACATATTGTGAAGTTGTTTGGGCAGTCAATTGCGGTGGCCCAAAACACATAGATTCCTATGGCGTTGAGTACAAGGCTGATTTTTTAAACAAGGGTACTGCATCAGACTATGGCCGTTCCTTCACGATAAATCGCATTGCTTCAGAAGATCATATACTTTATCAAACTGAACGTTATCACAATGAAGATTTTTCCTATCCTATCCCAGTTACTTCCGATGGAGACTATGTTCTAACATTGAAATTTTCAGAAGTTTGGTTCACGGAACGTTACCAAAAGGTAATTCTCTAAAAACGTCTTTCAAATTCATTTATTTTTTTTCCACTCATGTGTTCATTTTATCTGTTTTATACATCTTTGAGTTGGTTTTAAGTTTTGTTTTTCATTGTTCAGATGGTTAATAGAAAAGATAACTTGAGTTTGCCACTTAGACAATGAAATGAATCTTATGTTGTTACTAACAATGTTTAAGGATTCAGTGTATTAATAAATATTTGGGCTTTAGTTGTACTTACATTCCAAATTTAAGAGGTTAACCGTTGGTAATAGGTGTTTACACACCAACGTATAGAAAAGTGAGGATAGTTTGATTGTTAATCATGGTTAGTACAATGGAAATAAAAATTAACTGGTAAGGCTGTTGAGCCAGTTAATTGTCAAAATTAACACTAATATCTGTTCTTCGTTAATGTGGAAATTGTTACATAGTTGTCACATTATGGCTTATTAATAAACGCCTGTTATTTGGCTGTCAATTTTTTTTTGATTACAGCTTGATTCCACACCGCATTTTTGGTACATGTGTGGAATTTTCAGCATGTGATATCGGTAGCCCAAATTTCGCAGGCCGACCATAGATAGCAAGTGTGCGTCGGCAGGGGATCGAACTCCGGACCATGTGCATGATCGGCAAGAATCCTAACCACTGTGCCACCGACGCACGGAAAAACCTATAGAAAATACAGTCTTATCACCTTGATATGATTATGAGCAATAAATTGTGCTTGAAACGTCATCAGTAAACACTACAGTAGATAACACTACGAGACCGTATCAAAACAAATTTTACCCATAATGGAACTATACTCTATCACGGTGCACAAGCTTTATTCTTATATTAATAATTGTGTAGGGCGGACAAAAAAAACAATGGAAAGACGATAGTGTTTTATAAAATCTGTATGTAAATGCAGTGTTATTAATCAACAGTAATAAAGTGATAATAAAAGAAGGATAATGAGAATAATAATGATAATCCATTAATAATAGTAAACTTACATAATATAGTGAAGCAAAATTATAGTAAGATGATTTGTTACCATGATTTATGCTACTTGTAAAGTTGGAGCAAATGGAATAAGCAACAGAAAATGAGAAACAACTTATCTTAAATACAGCAAACAGTAAACTGAATGAACAGTATGATATTTTTGTTGTTGTTTATAGTACTTTGTCTTAGTAAATATTACATCTGTTTACAAACAGATTTTTTGTACAATATGACTAAATGAAGCTGAATGGTTAGAATAAACTGATAAGGACTGTTGGTATCAGGAAAGGTTGCTAAGTTGTTCATATACACTAGAATAACCACGTACAAATTCTAGTTTACTTAATGTCCATGAACAGTTTGGTTTCTACATATTAGCTCATTAATTACAACTGTTAGTTTCCAGTTTACCTGATTACTTTTTGCCTTCATTGTAGATCAAATTTTTTCTTTTTGGTTAATTACTAGAAGAAAAATTTACTGTAAATTGGTGGTGCATCCAATAGTTATGTTATTTTATTAACTAAATGCAGAGGATGCATTTTTAATGGATTTTTCCAAGTTCCGATTCATGATCCACACTACAAGGGGTTCTCTCTCTCTCTCTCTCTCTCTCTCTCTCTATATATATATATATATATATATATATATATATATATATATATATGCATTATTTGATCATTCGATTACGTGAAAAACGCCTTTCAGTTTCCATGCTATGAGCGGCAGTTATTATATGTTGGTTAGTGTTACTATTCAGCTGCCTAGAGTGAAGTAGATGGAGCTCAATTCGAACCCGAAACCTATTGTCTAAAACACGGTTGCTTCAACGTATGAATCAAATCTCCGCATACACATGTACACATAATTTAATCCCAATATAGTTATAAGCATTAAACTGGACTTGATACCTGCTTAGTAAATGATAACACTGAATTGTATGAATTACTCTGGTATGCAGTTGATCCGATGCCTTTATAATACATACAGGTTTCTTTTTTCAAAGAAGCAAATCTGCACTTATCTACATATATATGCTCATATACACCACTAGTTTAAAAAAACAGTAGAATTGCCAACATGTGCATTTTCCAAGATTCATTCTTAAAATTTTCACTAATATGCAGTAATTTATATCTCTTCTAACTTCAAATGTTTATTGGTTTTAGTTTGGTAGCTAGGTGCCTTTAGTGTGATGAGTGTAATCATTCATTTTGAAACGATAACTTCAGTAGTAGCACTGTTAGAACAAGCAGTTTTCACAATTGAAGTCTTTGGTTTAATTTTAATCACACAGTTTATGAAATCAATAATAATTTTTCTTATTACTACATATATATATATATATATATATATATATATATATATATATATATCACACTTCCGTGGTATTCATTCCACCCATTATTTAAATCACATCTAATTAGCTATAAAACATCTCTTTTGCAAAGCTGAAGTCACGTAATCAGAATAGAAAGTGAGTTGTAGTGACCCTGAATTATCACTGTAATGGTGAATGGATTTATTGATTTTATTTTAAGAAGGTATAATTTGAGTAGTACTCACAATTTGATTCATTCAGATATCATTTTTCACTCTTTTGTCAATAACTGATTGATTGATGAATTAGTTGACTGAGATGCAATGTCACTATATGACTTCATAGAACTATTTTGTGTAACGGTTTTTTTATAACAGAACAAAGTGAAATGTTATACAGAAGTGCATCAGTTCACGTTACTCCCGTTATTATTATTATTACTCCCGTGGAATATAAGGCTTCATGTAGTGGTCTGAAGTCTCTCTTACCTGTTGCGTGTTCTGCTTCACTTGCTACTATGTGGCAAAGTTGTCTTTCGTCTTTACTAACACTCCTCTTTACTTCTTTTTTTTCAATGCGCTGTAGACTGAACTCAGCTTATCCTTTCGTTCTCCATCTTTACTCTGGTTCATCTGTTTCATGTTGCTGCATTTGAAATTCATATACATAGAATATAGAAGCAAAGATTCAGTGGTATTGCTCCAACGAGAATAATTAGCTGAAGATCAGTGAAAATGAAAAGGAATGAATCCATCGGTGCCGTTGTCAATGATTTTGAGCCGTATCTCGAAAAGCCATCGACCACTGGTTCCTTAGCATTCGTAGGAATTCATTAGTAGTAGTGACTTTTTGTACTTCCGCAATCTGATAAGGTGTTCGGAATATTTTGTTCATGCATTAATGATAGTTACTGTGCTTTAAGTCACTTAGCTTTAATTCTTATAGAATGTTCATCGATTGAGTTGGTTCGCGGAATACCCCTTGTTTGAGGAGCAGCTTTAGCTGAAGTGGTAATTAGCTGGAGGAGTTAGAGGTGATCCGATCAGGCTATGACACACTCATTGGTTTGATGAGTTTTATCTGGAAATATGGACTGCCTAGCCGGTGGTGTCATTGGAATGCTAAGAATACATGATTAGAAGCATAGCTCATAATCTGTTCTCACTAGTACATATGTATTCATTCCTTGTCATTTTCAGAATTCCAAAAATCTACATCTAATTGTCCCTTCTGCTGTACACCTTTGTCCGTTACGTTTCTTTCCTCTACTTTTATTTGTGTTTTTCTAAAATGTGACAACTTGAACTGATGCGCCTTTTTTTGTATGAAGTTCTTTAAGAATATGGTTGCAATTACGCGTCTTTTTACTAACTAACTGCCATGCGTGTTTGTTCGCATGGTGGTTATATTGTACGTCGGTGGCACGGCGGTTAGGACTCTTGCCGATCATGCAATTAGTCCGGGGTTCGATCCCCTACTGACGCACACCTGATATCAATTGGTCGGCCTGCAAAATTTGGGCTACCGATGTCACATGCTGAAAATTCCATACTTGTCCCAAAAATACGGTGTGGAATCAAGCTATAATAAAAAAGTAACCTTTAGGGTTAATAAATTCTTAGCAGTTTAACTTCATTCTGCTCATAAGGTTATTTCTTTTTGATGGCTTAAACCAATATATTATCTCATAATTCGAGTTTTGTTTTGTGAACATAAACAGAATATATATATATATATATAATCACTTATTTTGTCATCACAATTCACACATATTTTCTTCCAAGGTAATCCCTGATTGATTTAAATATGTCACCTAGAAATTGAATTCTGACGTACAAATTGTGTGATGTGATTCGTTTAAACAAATTTTCACATAATTCAATATCATTTGTTGTAATATAGAAAGAAAGGAAAAACAAAGCCAAAATGTATATGTTCATGATATTTCAGTAATCTATAATGGTATAATTTTCCCTACTGTGAATAATTGTTAATAAATGTATGACAAACTGAGATTTCGAGTTTCATTGAAAGAAAAATGAAAGAGATAGGACATGCATTGTGCTTTAGTTTACAAATATTTTACTAGGGCATATAAACAATATTATTATTATTATTATTATTACTGTTGTTTTGTTTGTAATTACTTCAGGTATTCGATATTCTTGTTCAAAATACCTTACCAGTTGTTCAAAATTTGGATATTTTTGGTCAAGTTGGCTTTGCTACAGCGCATGATGAGCATATCCCATTCAAAATAAAAGGCGGGATGATTCATATTGAAGGGAATTCAGCTCCAATTGACGGAGATCATTTCACTGTGGATTTTATTAAGGTATGCTGAAATAATCATAGAAAGGATAACAATTAATTTTTTTCTTTCTATAGGCTGAATATGATAATCCGAAAATCAATGCAATTGTCGTTACAAAAGGCAAAATTGATGGTGAGTTTTAAGGGATTGTTTAAGTCAGCGATTTAATTTCATAGTGTTTTTTAACTACAGATAGCTGATAAGGGGTAGTGTTGTGTGCGCACGTCTGGGGTTCATTGGTATAATTCTCACCAACCTCCTTACAAGTTCAAGTGTTGGTTTGTAGGGATTTGATTGGTTACAGGATTTCATCATGAGCTGACATTGATTAGGGAACCATTGGAAAACCTGGGAGTACTGGAAAACTGTTTCGTCGTAGTTTGGAACTCTTCATCAGTACGCATCCGCCGGGGTTCGAACCCAGGACCTTCTGGTTACAAGGCGAGCGTGCTCGTAGACCATTAAGCTACTGAAACCCGATCCAATGGACTGCCAGTCCATGAATTCTAACTTCTGCCAATTCACGACGTAGCGGGACCACTAACCAATGTCTTCGGCGACTATTTGTCCTCACACCCGACCTTCTGCACCCTACCAGTCACTTCTCACTAGAACCCCAGGTAACTACCTACCTGAATAGGGCAAGTCTCTAGTGAGCATCTCATCGATATTCAAGTGTTGGTTTGTAGAGATTTGGTTGATTGGTTACGGGATTTCATCATGAGCTGACATTGGTAACAAATTGTCTGAGTTTCATTCCCGATAGACTCACTCCTATAAACCTCGCCTAGTTTACTAGCCAGTAGTAAATTTGCAAATGTTGGAAGGTTGAACGTGAGGCTGTCAAAGCACCCAATGAAGAGAATATCATCGCTACTGAAATTCAAAGGCTGGATGTCCCACGTGCCACTCTAAATGGAAAAAAAATTAACCAGAAGATAAGATCTATGGGTATTTAACATAATCCATCCAGAGAATTAGAAACCAATAAACAGCTCTGGGGATAAATAAAAAGTAATTTAAGCATAAAATTGTACACAGTAGGATTTGGTACGTAATTTCTTAAAATGTTGAATCTTCTAGAGCATGCAAAATACAAACAAACGGAGTTAACATTCATTGAACACTATAAAATTTCTTATATTCATTTATCAGATGTGTACGTATATTTTAATAACTTGCCACTCGCACAATTTTTGTAATACTCCACGTCTAACTATTAGAAGCATAAGAAAAATTCGCTGGCATTTGGTAATGTGTGTGTACTTTAGACCACTGTATCGTGTATCGCTAAATCTACTAATGAATAACGTCTACACTAGGGTTGTAGTCAAATGAGATAGGTCGTCTAACTCCCTTTAGTCAAAGTTTACGTGAAGTATTTGAGAAAGTCATATTTCAGTCGTTGTCGATCTACAACACGAATGAGTACAAAGTAGGATGAAGTATCCATTCACAATGCTCTGTAGCTCTCAGTTATCCTCCTACTGTTGGTGTTTTTTGTTCTTTTGATCAGAACTAATTTTGAAATCATTTAATTTAATCAAGTATTTAGATGTATTTCAAAACTTAATCCATACAACTTTGTTTATTAAAACAATATTTAAGCGTAGTTAAAGTCACCTTCGAACCACCTCCCAACTCGTTATTTTCCATTCGGGATCCACACGACGGCATTCTCAACGTATTATTTCACTCAGAGGTCTTATCAGTGTATGTCTAGTTCATCTTCATTTTCTTTTGCATATTTGCTGGGCAGTTGGTTCCTGGTTGGTTCATTTCTAGAGTTCTTTGTTACTTATCCTTTCCGGTCAATTGATCTTTAGTGTGAAGCAATAGGAGGTATTGATGAAAGTGTGTACATCAGTCTTCTGGAAATCCTTTTCGTGACGCGTTAAGTCTTTGTAGCATATGGAAGCAGTGAATTGATATTAGTGTTAAAAATTGGAATCTTGTTCCTTGTACTAAGTGCAATAGACCTCCAAAATGATTTCAGGTTAATGCAGGTCTGTCTTTCTTTTCCAATCCCACCTTTAACATCCTCATCTGTACCGCTTGCAGTTGAAAAATACTGCCTAGTTAAGCGAAAGGAGTGACTTCTTTTAGATTTCTCCTCTTGGTAGCGATTAGTGCTTCTTTTTGTTGGTTAGATCTTCTGTAGATCTTCGAGTTTGTGTGACATTAGATATAAATCATCATCGAAGTTCAGATCTTCTAGAGTCTACTTATCCGCCCAGCGTATTCCTACCTTCTCTGCCATGTAGCTCAGTCCACCACAATAGGGACAATCATCTGTGATAGTAGACAGCCTTGTCTTACTCCTGTCTCCACTTTAATGGTTTTGTGAGTTTTCTATTATGAATTACTTGACATGTAGCATCATCATATAGCCAGCTGTTGAATGAGGTTGATAAAGATTTGGTCACTCAATAGTATTGAAGCAGTTCCCCAATTACTTCACAGTTGTGGGAGATACTTGACTACTAATTGCATTATCTATTCGATTATGATGAGTAGCGTTGCAATTAGGTTGGCAAATGATTTACTTCCCTTGAATCCAGGTTGTTCCAGGCGGAGTTGGGGATACAGACCATCGATGAGTCTATCCTGGATGATACTGCTTATTCTTTTTAATCATTACTAACAAGGGATTCATCTTTCCGTGTACCTGTAATAATGTAATATGTACATGATTTCATCACTTATCAGAATTATTTATTGATCGTTTTAAATAAAAACCTAACGTTGACATGATTAAGAACAAAAAATAATCTTCAAGTATTGGTTTTGTAGGGACTTTATTTGATTGGATGGGGGATTTCATCATGAGCTGATATCACTTACAGAACCACTGGAAAACCTGTAAGTACCGGACAGCTGTTTCGTCCTAGTTTGAGACTCTTCAGCGTTTGAACCCAATACCTTCTGGTTACAAGGTGATCTCGTGTCCCAGTGTCTCAATGGTCTACGAGCTCGCCTTGTAACCAAACGGTCCTGGGTTCGAACCCTGGCGGTGGGTGAGTACTGTTGGAGAGTCCCGAACTAGGAAGAAACAGCCGTCCAGTACTCCCTGCAGGTTTTCCAGTGGTTCTCTGATGTCAGCTCATGATGAAATCCTCCGTCCAAAAAATAATACTTCAATAGAGAAAAAAAACACTGTTTCATTGTATGATGCATTTATAGAATTATGCCCTACATCGGTATGTATACATATTTTTCTCTCTTAGATGTACCTCAGTTACCACCGTTAGATGACGAAGAATTAGTATCACCTCATAAATTTCGTCAACCTGTTCCACCAGCTGAAAAACAAGAATCCGAAGAAGAAGGTGGAAAAGAGTCAACTTATAAAAGGCCATCAAGATCACCAAGAGCAAAAGATCCATATGCTTCCATTGACTCTTCTTATCTTATTCTACCAGTCCTGGTGACAATTGGTGCATTTTTACCTATTCTCTTTTGTATATGTAAACTTTAATGATTAATCAATACCTCAGTGAATTTGATACCGTCTTGTTTCGTTGTTGTTGTTGTTATTATTATGACTTTACTTTAAGTAGCATAATTCTATATTGTGTGTTATGTATTATTGTCAAATTCTATTGCACTATTTTTCATAACACTGAAATGTTTTACCCTACTGTGTATAAATTTCTCTTCTCTCTCTACTACTACTACTACTACCACTACTACATATCGTTAGCGTTATTGCATAATGTGTTTTCATATTCCACAGTGTTGTTTTGTTCTCTGCACATGTGTTATTTGGAAAGTTGTTGTATATTCACTCTTTCCTGTGATTATCACTATTAATATTAATAATATTACAAATGAACAAGTACTGAATTTTCAGGTATTGGTTTTGTAGGGATTTCGCTTGATTGCATGGAGGATTTCATCATGAGCTGACATCAGATAACCACTAGAAAACCTGCAGGGAGTACTGGACGGCTGTTTCTTCCTAGTTCGGGACTCTCCAACAGTACTCACCCACCGCCAGGGTTCGAACCCAGGACCGTTTGGTTACAAGGCGAGCTCGTAGACCATTGAGACACTGGGACACGAGATCACCTTGTAACCAGAAGGTATTGGGTTCAAACGCTGAAGAGTCTCAAACTAGGACGAAACAGCTGTCCGGTACTTACAGGTTTTCCAGTGGTTCTGTAAGTGATATCAGCTCATGATGAAATCCTCCATGCAAGTATTGAATTCTTTGTTCAAGATAATATGTGTTTCCTTTTGATTGATTTAACCGAAATCCTCGGCATTTCTTGATATGTGAGCGCCTATTAGCGCGGATGTTCCAATGGTGCTTGAAGATTACCGTAATGTTATTAGGCTAACTCCCGTTTCGTCGTACTGTTTGGCACTCGTAATCTAGATGTCTCTCAGTTGTTGTGTGTATAGTTTAATTAACGTATATGTACACCTTTCAGATAGTATTGTTCATCAGGAAGGATAAGTAGTTTGTATGTGTTAGGATGACTACGCAATCGATAGTCATTGAATGATGGTCTTAGCTATTTGCGTGGCTGTGCAATAGGGGACAGAAAACCTATGGTTGAAGACTTCACATAGTAGTTCCTCGAGTTGTATTGTAGTGTCACAAATGCATTCAAATAATAATCACCATTTTAATCATTTTATAATATATATATATATATATATATATATATATATATATATAATTTCCTTTAATTCCTAGAGGAACATAGGGCCTCAGCCGTGCGTCTCCATTGCGTTCGGTTCTCTGCTAGAGTTTTCACCTGGCTCCAAGTCTGCCCACATGCTTTCATCTCCTCTTCACATTGCCTCCTCCAAGTCGCCCTTGGATGACCAACTCGCCGCTTCCCTTTCGGGTTCCACTCGATGGCTTATCTGGCGTGTGAAGTCAGTTGATGGTTTTCTCAGTATGGCCAATCCACCTCCACTTCTTGCTGCCTATTTGTTTCACAATCGGTTCCTGGTTGGTTCGCTCATTGCCAGAGATTTCTATTGCTGATCTTTTCTGGCCGGCCATCTGATCTTGAGTATTGAGCGAAGACAGTTGTTCATGAAGGTATGTAGTTTGTTTAAGATGCTCTTCATGACGCGGCGCCAAGTCTCTGATCCGTATAGTAGCACTGACTGACTCCACATTGGAGTTTAAAATCCGGATCTTATTTTTGATGCTGAGTGCTACTGACCTCCACACAGACTTGAGATAAATGAACGCTTGCCTTGCTTTCCCGATGATCTTCGCTGCTTTGATAACCTTGTCAGTTCTGTCCGCCTGTAGTTGAAACAATGCTTCCCAGGTACGTGGTAAAGGAGGTTGTTTCTTTCAGGTCCCTCCCATTTATGCTGATTGTTGTCTGTTGTTGCTGTTGGTGTTGGTCAGGAATTTTCATCACCTCTGTTTTCTCCATGTTCACCTGAGGGAAGTCCTATCTTCACTAGATGCTTCTTCTGCCAACTTGTTGCTTTTCACTTGTGCGTCAGTGGCACAGTGGTTAGGACTCTCGCCGACCATGCACATGGTTCAAGGTTCGATCCCCCGCCGACGCACACCTGCTATCTATGGCCGGCCTGCAAAATTTGGGCTACCGATATCCATGCCGAAAATTCCATACTTGTACCGAAAATACAGTGTGAAATCAAGCTGTAATCAAAAATAAAATGAAATAAATACTATCTTCCAGTTTTTGGGAAATCAGACATATATCATCGGTGAAGTCCAGATCCTCCAAGTTTTTTGTGTGAGTCCATTTTGTGCCTGTTTCCTCATTGCACACTGTCTGTCGCACTATCCAATCTACTGCAATCAGGAAAAATCATTGGCGATAGTAGGCAGCCTTGCTTTACTCCGGTCCTCACTTCGAAGGATTTCGTAAGTTCCCCGTTGTGGATTACTTGGCATGCAGCATTGTCGTATAACTGTTGGATGAGATGTATAATTGTCGGCGGAAGCCCGTGGTAGCAAGGTAGTTGCCAAATCACATCATGATCGACGTTGTCGAAGACCTTCTCAAAGTCGATGTTGTTGAGATAGAGAGGTGACTGCTATTCCAAGCTTTGTTCAATGGTGATCCGTAGTGTGGCGATTTGATCATTACATGACTTGTTTCTCCTGAATTCAGCTTGTTCCGGTCGAAGTTTTTCATCCAGGTTGGCGTGTTTGATTCTCTCCAGGATGATGCGGCTTAGTATTTTGCTTGGGATGGACAGAAGCATAATTCCGCGCCAGTTTTTGCATTGACTTAAGTCTCCTTTCTTTGGTAGTTTGAATAAGTATCCTTTCTTCCAATCCTCGGGTACTTTGCCCTGTTTTCACACCTCCAATAATGTCGTCATCAAGTCCGCTGTTGTCTCTGGGTTCATTTTCAAAGCTTCTGCTGGGATTCCATCTGGTCCTGTTGCTTTTCTAGCTTTTAGCATCTTGATTACCTTCAGGACTTCTGATGTCGTCGGGGGAGGGGGGTAGATGTTCATTGGTAGTTCTGCTTCCGTTGTTAATAATATAATTACCATGTTATAATATGTGTACATTTGAATTACTATTGTATATCTTATAATGTTTTTATAGTCTTTGTTTCCCATCTTATTACTTTCTACTAGATGTAAATATGTGACCGTTATGAGGAAATACTAGATCGTGTGTTCCTGAAATCTTTCTGTGCAAGAGTAACAAATAACTACTGAACGTAGAATGCAATCAGCTATTTGTAAATTACAATAGTGGTGAAATCTCACCACGGTTTATTTAGGAAACTTAGTATATCATAAATAGCGTCTGAAAAGTAAGCAAAGTACAGAACAGTACATCCTCTGCCGGTTTATGCAAATTGGAAACTGTCCTCTCATCAGTGTTTAGCTAGCTAGATTGAATTCGTTGAAACGACAGATGACTGTTTCACCTGCTCAAGGTCGAGTTTGTCAGTAACACTGCTGGATTTTTACTGCTCAGAAAGTCTTAATTATTTCTAAACACACAACCTAAATAATTTCCAACTACTCATGTTAATCAGTAGTATGTAGTGCCTTGCATATGGTCAAGCAAGGAGTCCTACATTACAGTCAGAATACTTTGAATTTTGAAAATAAACTTTGCTGACATTTTACCTCGAACTGTATCACTTAGCAAATACCTGATTGTACTCCATATGTCAACAGTATGCCTAAGAATTCGGTTGGTGTTAACTTGTTCAGTTGCCTAAGCTCAGTCAGACACTGATAATGATCTCGATCAGAAAAAGTGCTAAACCTCAGTGAAGTATCCAGATCATCTCAAACTGGATGGGGAACACTATCAGTAGATGTGAATAGACTCCCTTTACTCATCGACACTGTAGTATGTATCATTTTAACATTAAACCCAATTTATTCCCCTATTCTATTGCCTATATTACGTCAGTTTTATATACTCTTGTGGCAAAGTCGTGTATAAGTTTCTTGTTTAATAATGTAAAGTAATCCAGCTTATGAGAATATTTATTGGGCAACCACATGTCATGAAGATATATTGTCGTTTAGCGTTTTTATTTACATCTTGACTAGATCTTTACCACTGAGAGTGGGAAGACTTCGGTCGTCCTTTCGAAATGCTCTCATGTAGCCACTCATTCATAATCTCTACCACTGCCTTCAGACGGCGGGAGTGTTCCTCACAAAAGTGGAAGGGCGAATGCGAACTTCCGGTGCATACCACCGGACTAGTGTTACCTTCGGTATACATGGACCGCAGAATCCGAACAGATCGGATGGCTTATGGACTTGTTTCGGTCACCGGAAACCATGGGAACGCAACTCCTGGCTCTGTTCCACTATCTTGTTGATCAGGATTCAACTGAAAGGGTCTAGTGGTGGTCTCTTAAGATAACCACCTGCTTCGGTCTAGGAGTCCGGTCAGTATAGCATCTCTTTCACAAACTATGAGCTTTTGTGTAGTGCATCCCTTGGTCCCCATAATATATCATGTTTGCGCTTTTAATGATAGTGACGAGCTTTATGATTGGATTCACGGAAAACAAAATTAATGATCAGTTCAAGTTAATTAACTGATTTGGCAATTTTTATAAAGTAAGTCTGCAAAACATGCAAAGTATCCAACCTGAAATTTGTTAGCAGTTCTGAATTATTTTCTGTTGAGTTTTGTTGCGTCTATATTATACCCTCTAGTATCGATCTTCTCAGTGACACGAGAAACAGTTTACTAGTGGCAAATCAACGTCATTGCGAATCGACTGCTTTATAATAAGTAATTTGTGTAACTGTACAGTTCAAGTGTGTTGATCGGAACATATCGATTAGGTGTAGAGTACTTAGTCTTAGAGTTGGGTGACATGACATTATGGTGTACTATAGTATATCATTAGATGTTTGATTTCAATATAGAGAAACACAATGATTGATCGAAGAAATATTTGCTTTTCAATTAGATCCTCATCTCTGGCTCTACTCTAATATATATACAGAATTTTTATTACTATACACAACAGT